CGAACATTCGGTTTACTAGGCGTTGATAAGTTGCACCAGCACTTTTTAGACCGAATGGCATCATATTATAACAGTAGGTACCGTACTTAGTGATAAATGAGGTCTTTTCCTGATCCTCCAGGTTCATCTGTATTTGGTTGTACCCGTAATAGGCATCGAGAAAACTGAGAGTCTCGTGGCCGGCCGTGGCATCGATCATACGATCGATATTAGGCAAAGGAAAAGAATCCTTAGGGCATGCTTTATTTAGGTCTTTATAATCTATACACACTCTAAGTTTGTTCCCCTTTTTAGGGACTACCACCACATTTGCTAGCCATTCAGGGTATTTTACTTCCCGAATGGATCCTATTTTAAGAAGTTTGGTTACCTCGTCTTTGATGAAGGCATATTTGACCTCGGATCGAGGCTTTCTTTTTTGTTTTACCGGATGGAATTTTGGGTCCAAGCTTAGTCTATGAGTGGTGATTCCCGGTGGGATCCCTGTCATGTCAAGATGGGACCAAGTGAAACAGTTCATGTTAGCTATAACAAATTGAATAAGTTTTTTCATGATCTCGGGATCTAACCCCGTGCCTAGGTATACCTTTCGTTCGGGTAGATGTTTGATTAGTGTAATTTTCTCCAGTTCTTCGACCGTTGATTGGGTAGCATCAGAATCATCGGGGACCACGAAGGATCGAGGGACCCCATGTTCATCATCTTCGTCAGTCTTCTGATTCTCTAGTTGGGTCGAGGCTGGTATTTCTGATTGCTATTTGGTATCCCGTTCCCCCTTCAAATCCGATCCTTTTGTCGACGATAATGAATATATCATAATTACTTCATCGACGACAAATATTTCTTTTGCGGCCGGTTTCTCTCCGTAGACCATTTTGACTCCCTCTGATGTTGGGAATTTCAGAACCTGGTGGAGGGTCGAGGGTAAAACTCTCATATTGTGGATCCACGGTCTTCCAAAAAGTGCGTTATACCTCATGTCGCCTTTGATTACGTAAAACTTCATTTCTTGGATGGTTCCGTCCACGTTTATTGGCAGAATTATCTCGCCTTTAGTAGTTTCATATGCCATATTGAATCCGTTTAGAACCAGGGTTGTGGGCACGACCTGGTCCTGTAAACCGAGCTGCTCTACGACCTTCGATCTAATAATGTTGGCCAAACTACCTGGATCAATTAAGACACGCTTAACTTGAATTTTATTCATAAGTACAGATATTACCAGTGCATCGTTGTGGGGTTGCATGACTCCTTCTGCGTCTTCATCATTAAAGGACAAGGTTCCTATGGGTGCATAATCCTGAGTCTGAGATCGCTTCTCTTTTACAATCGATATCTTAGTGCGTTTAAGCACTGTCCCCTAGGGGATATTGATCCCACCGATGATCATGTGGATGATGTGTTATGGTTCTTCTTGTTCGTTTTGTCTACAGAAATCCCTGTTTTTGAAATAATTTTTGGCCCGGTCACTTAAAAATTCTCTAAGGTGCCCCTTATTGAATAACCGGGCTACCTCCTCTCTCAGTTACGTGCAATCGTCCGTTCTATGGTCATGAGTGCCATGATATTCACACATTTGATTGGGATTCCTCTGGGTTGGATCGGTCTACAGAGGTCGAGACCATTTAGTATCTTTGATGCATCCGATAGCCAACACGATGGAGGATGCATCGATGTTGAAGTTATATTCTGATAACCGTGGTGCATCCTTAGGTCCGGTATGCCTGTCGAACCCATTCCTATTCATCAGCCCCCGAGACCCCTGGCCTCGATCACTTCTTTTATCACCTTGTACGGGGTTACGTCTTGGTCCGTTACCCCTATAATCTCCATTATACGGCCGGTATCGGTCCCTGATCGGCCTTGGTTCTTGGTTGATGTCCCTTTTAATAACGGACCCAGAACCCAACTGGTCGTCTTCGACTCTAATTTTCGATTGATACCGATTGTGTACATCGGCCTAGGTAACAGCTGGGTACTCGATCAGGTTCTGCTTCAACGTCGTGAATCCATCGAGCTTCGTTCGTTTAGACCTTGAGTGAAATCTTGAACTTCCCAATCGTCTGTAACTTGTGGTAGATCCATTCGTTCCATTAGGAAACGAGATACGAATTCTCTTAGCATCTCAATATCTTTTTGTCTTACCTTGAAAAGGTCCGACTTCTTGGTCTCGACTTTTATGGCTCCAGAATGTTCTTTTACAAAAGAATCTGCAAGTATAGCAAAAGAATCGATAGAGTTAGCCGGTAAATTATGATACCATATCATTGCTCCCTTTGAAAGGGTTTCACCAATTTTTTTCAATAATACAGATTCGATCTCGTCGTCTTCTAGATCGTTCCCTTTAATGGCACATGTGTAAGAGGTGACGTGTTCGTTGGGGTAGGTCGTTCCATTATATTTAGGAATTTCAGGCACGCGAAACTTCTTGGGGATCGGTTTTGGAGAGGCGCTCGGGGGAAACGCTTTTGTACGAATTTTTTGGAATCCAAGCTTTTCAATATTGGTGGTGCCCCCGAGATCTGATCAACCCTGGAGTTATACGTTTCCATTTTTTTGTCGTTTGCTTCAATCCTCCTTTCTCCTGACTCTATTCGTTTCGTTAGTTCCTCGAGTATCTTAATAATTTCGGGATTGGTCCCCGATTCTTGCTCATTTGACCTTATTACAACTGGCCCCGTTATGTGGGTGACTTCTCGGGGTGGACTAGGCTCTGGCCTGCTCAGTGCCTGGGTTTGGCTCTACAACTGAGCTATCGCTACCTGTTGAGCTTGCAACATTTCAAAAATCATATGCAAGCTGATTCCGTTTTCCTCAAAGTTTTGGGTATTTCGAGCTGCAGATCGAGTTCCACCATGAATGCTATTTTAAGGGTCGGAACGTTGGTTTGCCTCGATGGCCACATATGAATTAACGTCTATTGGCACTTCGACCCGAACTCCAACGGCATCGACGAGTGGCCTTTCATCCCGGGCGTCAAGTTGTTGTTCTCATCTTGAAGGCCAGCTTCGTTGTCGATAGGTAGGGCCATTAATTGAGAATTTATCGTTTTCAGCCTGAAATAAAAATACTTCCAAGGACAAGCGTAAAATAGTGTGTTTCACAGAGATTCATACCAAATAACTACTATTATCCTTAGCCCCACAGTGGACGCCAAATTGTTTACCCGAAAAACGGATAGAGTTGAATTTTTACGTAATTCTAAGGATGCGTGGTATAACTTGGTACAAATTGAAAAAGTAAGTAGAGATATGTCGAATATTGATTGTAAAAGGGAATTAAAACACACATAAATTGAGTAGAGAATGATTTATGAACAAGCAAGATGAATCAATGTACAAAGCCCCAAAAAGAATAATCTTTTCTATATATGTGTAAATCTCCATAATCTTTTTTGTGAGAGTGTATTGATGTCTCAATGCCCTTTACGGAAATGATAGCCACTCTTTATATAGTGGAGGGATCCTACTTTGGATATCATTTAAAATATATAGTGGGGATCCCATGATAGATTAGTTAATTAGTTTTTCCTTAATTCCGCCGAGATTCTCTCCCCCAGTGCGGCTACAACGACTCTTTGTCTCTTAGCTCGATCTTGGATCTCGAGTTCGATGTTGACTCGAGCTCCATATTGATCGGTCTTTGGTTCTTGAGCTCGATAACATCGCTTCACATCATAGCTCGATATTGACTCTAGCTTGATATCGCCTTGAGCTCGGTATTGGTTGGTCTCTGGGTCTCCGGGTCTCGACCTCTACCTGGGCTCGATATCGACTTTGGTTATTCCCGACCTTGGTTGGTTTCTAGGGCTAGAACTCAGCAGCCCGACTTCACATCATAGCTCGATATTATAATGCCGAACCTCGGTCCACCATACCCCAAACTCTATCAGCCACACGAGGGCAAACTCGGTTTTGACTGTACACAATTGGTCCATATGCAAATATTCCAATTTTTACCTTGGTTCATGTCTATGGTTCAGAAAGAATTCTCTGTTGCACTCTTGACTCTACCAGTGGCCCTTCTCAGTGCCCAAATCACAATAGGAAAAAGAAAAGTATCTGCTTATCCTTCAAGTCTTTTAAACAGAGATTTGCACTTCAAAATGAGGCTGGGAATGCTGAGTTGTTCAATTGCTATATCTTGAGTTCCAGAGTATGCTAAACACTTCTCTTAATGAATCACGTGTTCTGGTAAATGTAGGGTGCAAAAACAAGTGGAGATATGTCCAAACGTAGGTTCAAACCAAGGGATTCAATGTCACATAACGTCTTTGTTCAGCCCATTTTAACCCGTCTAAATGTCACATAACACGTCTTTTGTTCAAACCTCACATATAACGCCAATTCGAAATCACCACCAATATCTTTGCATCGTTGTTGTCTAATCCTCCTCGGTCTGTATTAGAGGTCCTTTAAATAGGACTTAAAGTTGTTAACCACGGCACATTAAATGCAGCATTCCGACCTTTCAATTTATGGCCGTTGTTGTGGGGGAAAGGTTGCAAGATGCTAAGTAAGAACTTTAAACAAATAATATTTCATCTTCCTATCTTCAAAACAAGATTAATCCTAGTGATTTGTGTTGTGACAGGAAATATAAAATACTCCAGTGCTTTTTGAAATCTGTAGTTTACAGCAAGATTAGTCCAATGCAGCCAGATAAGTCAACCTTATTTTTGGCATTTGGGAGTGTGCTCTAACCTTTAAACGAAGCTGGATCTAGAATTAGGTTATTTTTTCGATTTTTCCTAAGCTTTGGTGGATTGAATTTATATTACGTGAGAGATGTAGGTACTTGGTTGAATAGTTGAACCGCCCACAAACAGACTTATACACCACCATTATTTTAAAGGCTGATGTATTATTCAAATCCTCATGGACTACTCCCATGTCAATTAATAATTAGATATCTAAATTAATATAATGGATATCAATTTGCAGGGGTACAATTATTTTGTTTCGACTTTTTGACCTACTCATTCACAATTTTCATCTGAAATGGTTCCTTGGGTTTGTATCTTGACTATCTTCTCTTCTTTTTTCTGCTTCAAATCAAGTGCTGAGCTCATAACTTCTCTTCCTGGACAACCTCCAAATATTTTCTTCAAACAATACTCTGGTTATATTGTTACCAATGCTCAACATGGCAGAGCCCTATTTTATTACTTTGTTGATGCAGATTCAGAAAATGCAGCATCACTTCCCCTTACTGTGTGGCTCAATGGAGGTATATTTTTCTAATAACCTTGATTTATACTTTAAGAACTGAAATGGAAGAAAAAAAAAGAGTTATTAATTTGAATGTATTCAAAATATTAGGCCCTGGTTATTCATCTGTGGGTTTTGGTGCTTTTATGGAGCATGGTCCATTTCAGCCAAGGATTGATGGAAGCCTAATAAAAAACAAGTATTCTTGGAATTTGGGTAATGTGATTTTTTATTTCCTGAATAATCATATTAAAAAGATTTTATACCCGAAAATCGGATAATAAGAGACTGGTTTTGATTGCTATGAAACAGTATCGAACATGTTATACGTGGAGTCCCCGATTGGAGTAGGATTTTCATACTTAAATACAAGCTCAGACTACACCAATTGGGATGATACGACTGTTGAAGTTTTTCTTTTTAAGATGAAATAGTCTTAAAATGAGGGTGAATGGGAAATGGAGTGAAAATAAAATTTTTGAGTAAAATTTTAAGTTTTCGCCTCTTGACAATGAGACATTGTCCCATATTGAAAGAGGAAGAGATTTTTGGTGGGTATATATATAATTGCTCTTCTTGTAGCTCTTAAAGAGTTAAGAAGAAAGCAAGCCTCGCGCCGTCGTCGTCGTCGCGGCTTCGGCTTCGGCTTTGGTATTTGGTCAAATGATCAATTGATTGATACGATTGTTCTTCTTCAACACTGGCTGCTATATATATGTGCAGCAGCTATTGAAGAAAGACAC